ATGAATCATAACCTCTGTTTCTTATCGAGGAGTAGACATGACTACCAATATCTTCGATGAGGTATATATATACATATATGCCTATTAGGACGAGGGTATGACAGGAGAGTAGGCCTGGCTGTCAAGCCCACTATCAAGTATATCAATTCCTATCACGACCAGGGTATGACCGAAGACTAAACCTGGCTATCAATACCTACTATCAGGGATATCTATATGCCTTTTACGACAAGGGTATGAGTGAGACCGAGTAGTAGACATGGCTATCGGTACCTTCCATCAATAATATCTATGCCTATCAGGAATAGGGTATTACGAAGGAGTAGGCCTTGCTATCAATACCTATACGATCAGGGATATATATGCATATATAAGGAGGTATGACCTATACCTGTCCCTTTCTTGACCGAGAGAACAGTACGCTCCCAGGCGCATGCGCGACGCAGAAACGCTACCATCACGTTGTCATCACGTGCAGCCTCAATCTTGCTACCCTGATTATGTCTTTACCATATCTACTGACCGTAAATAATTATGCAATTCTAATGAAATCAAAGATTGAAAGTTTCACTATCAACAAGAAACGTCTGCTGGCTTCTGGTAATTTTTAACAAAATTTAAGGTCGAGGAATCATAAAGGATATTAAATAAATTATTTGTTTCATATTATGAATGAATTTAATTAATATTAATATCATTTATTCATTCTTGCATGAAGCTTTTCACATCAAAGCAAGAGAATGATCACTCATCGCCTTTATAGCAATTAAAGTAAGCCATTTTCTCTTATTGAGCATGTATTCGATCACGCATACAAGACGTCTATAAACGTTGAAAGACACGGAAATGTATCAAAAAGGTTCAAAATACTTCGAAATCGTTAAGAAAACATATATTTCTCTTATAGATTATAGTGCATTGAACCCTATGAATAATCCAAAGCCAATTTCGGTAATGATGATCCACATGATCATGTCATTCATCCTCGTGGTCCTCAGCTACGCGGTTATAAGTGATAGCAGTTGCACATTTTACATCAGAATATTCAAGAAAAGTAGAATTTCTAGTCTGATAAATCGCGAAATCGCATTTTATAGCTGATAATTTCGCGTCAATATACAGTGAGAAATCTACCTCACGCCGAATTGTATACTTTCTGTACATTACTAAAATTAGACAAAATAGCCCGTAAGTACCGCCGTCCAATGTCGATCTGTGAACAAAATAGCTAATTTAAAAGCGACTCACGCAATTGGACTTTGCGCCAGTTCGTGGCAAACAACATGACCTAGTCTGACGTCAACAAAATTGCAGCAGTCGATCCCTTGCCTGCATGAAGATTTTTATATAATAAAAAAAATTTATTGCGCGCAATTTATATATGCTTATATTTGTTTTTGAAGCCATTCTATAAGTTTGCCTAGTTCATAAGGATTGAAGATTTGTAACAAAATATTTTTTATTGAGCGCAATTTATATATGCTTATATTTGTTTTTGAAGCCATTCTATAACTTTGCCTAGTTCATAAACATGGGATAAGTAAACAAATCAACCAAATAATTATTAATTCAATGTTAAATATTTTTGGCATAATATGGATAATTTTACGAATAGCCCATAGCTCTTGGAGAGGCGCTCTGGGATCAAAAGGTCCAGGGACAATTATTGCAATATTATTGCTACTTACCACCAGTCGCAAAGAGGATTCCGAGAAGAAAAAACAAGTCCAATAATATTTATCATATGGCTTGATGAAGCATTGAGAATCTAAACTTTGGACTTGGCTCCAATATTGACGGAAATGATTTCGGAGACGCACCTACTACGTCCAATGTTTGTCAATGTTGCACATGTACTCGCTAGCTCTAGACGCATGATTACGATTGAGTCATCAAATCTGATATGAGAGCATAGCAACGCAACGCACAGCCGCTCTCTGACAGCAACGACTGCGCAGATCCAAGCCAAACTGTTATCGTATTCAATGGAATGAATTCTGCCACCCAATTAACTTCAAATCAATGACGAAAAAACACTATTCAGAGCAAAATAAATATATTCATTTAGTTGTATCCATTGGTTCGTTAACTCACTCAAGAGTTTTAATTTGAGCCTAAGAAACGTTCCACTTTTCGGTGGTAAAGGCAAGGAGTCAATTCAACTTAGGTTTGCTTTGAAACACGTTGAAGAAAGAAATCGATTTTGTAGTAAATGAATCGTACCGCAATTAAGGAGAAATATTGGGACAAGCAATAAAGAAGTCTAATTTTATTTTTAATGGCATTTCCAATTGTGGAACTTTCAAATCATGTATTAGGAAACGTGAGAGATAAAGGCTGTGAACGCATGTAAATCAGACAAAACATCAGTTTATTATATTGTGCAGCAAGGAAAAAAAACATAAAGATGGCAAGGGAAAGAGAACATATCAAGAGCTAATGGAGCAGTAGCAGTAGATTTCATGTCGATCTCATTACTGTGGAGTTTATTATATTTAGCAGGAGGAAAAATACTTTAATTAGGATATATAGGAAAGAGAGCATTTCAAGAGCGAACATAACAGAAGCTGTAGATCCCATCCCATTATTACAGAGTTAATTACATTGAGCATCAGAATAAAAGCATCAAGTGGGTAAAGGAAATATATAACAGAACAGTAGCTGTAGATTTCCTGTATATCAGGATATAACAGAAAAGTAGTTGTAGGTAGATTTCATTGCTGCGGAGTTTCGATGGCCGTCACTCATGGCTGGTGCAAAGTCCACCTCTCGCAGCCTGTGTGTGGACGTCAAGGCTGCATGGCTCATGAGGGCATTGAGAGCTACCGCCGAGCCTTCTAAGTTATTACGCAAGAATAGCTAGGAATATCACGTGCCGACGACGTGATAGCTTTGTTTTCTTAAAGGGTCGAAGTCTGTTATCAGTAGATAAAGGATAGACGTAAATATCAGCCTTTGGTTGCATTGTGTCGCAGGAATATGCAGTTTAAGGGTACAGGTTAATTCCCATTTTGCGTTTTTTCGCAGGCAATAAATGCGATCTGTTTTTAGCAGTTTCATAATTTACGTGTACTTCGATGAGAAATATTCATTGATTAATTTCTTCTAAGAACTCAATCTTACAGCCGAATAAGACTGTTCAATACGAAATTCTTGCCCACAGCTGCATGACTCCGATTGATTGCTGAGTAAAGAGCATTATACCCCTACTCCCCTAAAGTAGTGAAGGCTGAGGATGAACTCAACTGGTGCAGTGTTGCAAGGCTATTGCATCGTTACTTGAAGGTATGGTGGAGTAATGAATCGTTTTGAGCGCAATTTGGGCACCATGGGAAATTCCTTAACGAACTTTAATCGATTTTAATGACGAAATCATTCAAGAGGTTCAGTAAATTCATCACCACTATTGTTGAAAGCATATAAGAACTTCTAACAAACTCTCAAAAATAAGGAACACGAGTTTTAGCTATTCCAGAATTCATACATTTATTAAAGAGCTCAATTTACATGATCTTGATTCATTTCATAGTTGAAGAAGTCTTTCTGAAAACATCATTATTTTCTTCCAGCGACGCAAAAAAACATCACGGCAGAGTTGCATCCGCCACACCTGCTGCTTGCTGCTACGGCGTGGCCAGACTCGACTAACCTAATCATCTAAAAATAGTCACAATATCGTGCTTCTACTCCCAAGGCACTTTTACCCTACGTTAGAGAATTGCGTCATTTTACGTGCATTCACAGTCTTTGTGTCATTTCATTTCAACATTGACATTGATTTTTACATCTATTCGATTTAGTGCTACCACAATGATGAATTGAAACACACCATAACAAAAGGTCTGTGGTAAAAGTCTTATTTAGATTCGAAGAAAGATGCAGATTTATGAAATGTAGAAGTATACACATGGATCAGAATGCTGCAAATCAATTCAACCAAAAATTTACTGGAAATTGCCACCTACGGTAGTTCGATTGCCAGATATCTTGCTGTATCTAAATGTATTTAGATGCATCAACTCCCCAACTTACTCAATTCCTGCAAACGAAATATATCGAAAAAAACGTGATCTTGGGTAATTGCGATCGCAAATCTTCTATTGAAATGACCTGGATGACTTGAAGCAAAATGATTTCATATAACTGAAGTGAATCCCGGATCCCTTGTGAATCAAGTCACGAAAAGTTCAAGAATCGGCAACAGGCCATGGGCCTATTTCTTCAACGCCGACACTTCTATTCTTTTCTAAAATCAAATAAATCTACGTCGGTGACGCGTCTCATCCTGATCAAGTAAAATACAAAACCTAGAGCCAGAGGAATAAGTATCCTGCTGGTAAAATCCTTGTTACATTTTTCAAACAGTTAACCGATTACTCATGGGAAAAATTCGGATGTATAAATATCGGGGAATAGGGTTTATATGAATAAAGGCAACCAACGAAAGTTAAGGATCATTTTGACAGTAGACTATTCGTAATGTACTATGACTTCCATCGTTTTATGTTAGGTCCGTAAATGACTGAAATTCGTACACTAATAATCTAATTTCAGATACAATAGGATTACTCGAATTTTGATGATAAATTTTATGTGGTAACGAGTACGTTTAAATGAAGTAAATAAACCTTTTAAAGGTGGCCTTTAAAATAACTGATCACGTGATAGAGGGCGAGAAACCCAAGTTTTCACGCGGTGATCACATGCACAGAAGATTTTCTCGCTCGCTATTGGTTGTTGCTGCCGCGCCTCCAACTGTCATTGGTAGACGCCCAGCACACCCCTCCCATCCTCACAAACAATGCATTAAACAAGCTTTCTAATGTGAATTACTAAAATTTCAAAGATACTTCCTACGCATGTTAAGCCAGTAACAATTTAAGTTAGATTTTATGTCCAAACAAAGCCTTTATTACGATCTGCTATGACAGCGAACTACTATGAAACATTGGATGACCAAAAGAGAGCGAGTTCCACTCAAATTCACCATTTGTGAGCTTACTGTGGTGGTGGCAGGTTGCACAGTGTCCGTGCTCTGTAACATCACTGGGATAATAAAACACTGGATTTCCAAAATACGAGATGAAGAAACAAATAATGATCAAACATACAGGGCCATTAAAACTCGAAAAGGTAATATTTATATTCAAATTCGTCCAAATCACTATTAACTAATCCATTCGATTTTCCTTCATCGTTGTTTCAAAAAATGTAGTTCAATTTTTTGTAAAAAAAACATGACGCAGTATTTAATTTTTAGCAATTTTCTTTCTCAGAAGCTTACGTTACTTAAATTAACCTTTTACTTAAGTGAGGTGTATGGTTATAAGATATGATTAGCCAATTGATTATCATTGATTAATTAAAGCAATTGAGCTTGAAGCGAGCCTTGAGCTTTTTCCATTCCAGAATTAGGATGAAGTAAACTAATACCTAATTATTCCGCAAATGGACAAATAAGAAAAGTGTTTCATAGGTTGAACAGAATTTATATTTTATTGCATAATTATTAATGATATTAAACGTCTGGCTCGCAGATTGACATATTTTTAATCATGAAGCATAACAGTATAATTATGATTTACCTACTCACCCGGCTGCAACATGAATGAATTATGAATGCTCACACATAACTGTGTTTACGATTGTACAAGACGCTGTAATTTGTGGTAGAATTAATTTGCCGTTATTTTTTAACGATATGACTACAGAAATTTTATACATGTTGACCATCTGCTGAAGTTCTAATAACGGTCATAGTTTCTTCTATGCGAAAAATAAGGTTCCTAGATAATTTATTTAGCGCTGTCTAAACCTGAAATGAGGGAAGGGTGAACGTCATTCACCTCCGTTCTGTGTTTTGTCTGATCGAAAAAGAGAGAAGAGAGGAGCTCGTAGTTTCAAGACGAACCGTTGAGGTTGGCGCTTGCTGGGTTGCTGCTACTGCAGCTACTCGAGCTCGGCAAGCTACGTGCGATCAATAGTAGAACCTTACTCCTTTGTTGAGCTTTTAGGTACTGCGTACGGAAGCGGCAGGATCCAAGTCACACTTATGGTACTATTCTTAAATTGACTAGAACATTTAGTGTCTTGTCATTTTAAATCGAAACAACGTAGTGTTATCGCTATGTTTAAAATAGATAGGTACATCATACAATTTAATGATGACATGCGGAGAACGTGATCATGTTATTAAGCATTATTTCACGCTTCCGTTGATGGATTATTTTCTTTTTTCTCAATATGGAATCTGCGTCGTGACTCTAGAAGGCATGTATTGTCATGCCGTAGTGAGAGTGTTGCCAGGCACAGGGAACTGAGGAAAGGAGATGATAGCTCTGCTCAGTGCTCTCTGCACTAGGTTCAGCTCCGCTCGACCTCTGATCAGGAAAACGGTAGCCATCTTGCTCTCTTTTGCTCAGCGAGAAAAGAGCATGACCTCTTCTTTTAGTTACGCTGTCGAATTGTCATGTGAAAAATGTAGCGGATCCGTGCTTGTAAAAGATACTGATTCAAATCGTTGAAAATCTTTTGAAACGGTGTCCTTTCACCCTCTTAACTGACAGGTCTAATGGGTTGTGAACTATATAGCTAATGGAGAGTAAATACTAAATAGGTCATGTTTAATATGCTTGTAATGATGATTCCTCTATATTTTGCTCTTAATCATCCCATTTCACTTTATTACTACAATGTTCTGTATGAGTTGAAACTAAAAAACGAATATGTAGATGACTCAACGTTTCCTTGCAAGACAAGAGGTATCAACATTACTAGTCTGTGATGTTATAGGTACGATAACAGCAAGATTCTTGAGAGCCTTCATCACTACTTAGGATAGCCGGATGCTAGGGTAAGACCAAAGGTGTATAGATAGTAGTTGTTGTGAGATCTATTTGAGTGCGTTCAGTAGAGGAGTGGCAGTGAGCCGGGTTGAGGTCGGAGGCACGCATGTATGTAGAGGGTGTGTCATGACGTCACGCCGCATCTGAGCTGTTGTGGCCTTCCGCAAGTTGCACGCCTTTGCCGCGTGCTCTCTGGTACAGCCGCTGATCACGTGATGCGCCCGCTCTTACTGGCCGAATTCTTTGTTGTTCTTGGAACTAAGGCAGCTTCACCGTATTTTAAATTCCTGCTAAGGCAGCTTCATACAATGTTTATCGGAATCAAGCTCTAGCATTCACTGTCATGGTTAAGAGTCGCGTTAGTATTTTTATTTGCTAACTATACCACAACGTGTGCAATAAATATCTTTCACTCGCTGTTAGCAGAATGTGAATAAAATAATTTTTCAATTATTTAATTCGCAATTAGCTGTTTATCGTTCATTAGGATTGTTATAGCTGCACATAACTGTTTCAAAAGATTTTGAAAAATGTTCGCAAAAAGGTTGACATTGATGCGTGTTGCTGCTCAGTTTTAGTTGTTTAAATTCAAGTCTTATAAGCAGCATTGGCAGCTCTTTCTTGCGGTAGGCACCGGTATGGCCAGATGCTCAATAATTCCGTAGTGGCATGACGTTTGCAAAACTCGCTCATGTAGTAGGAATCTATCTATAATCAAGGAACGTCTCAGCAGCAGGACTCGGATCTGATGTCATCCGGAGGTTAGGGAAGGGGGTACGGCGTCGCTCTGTCTAGAGTAGGAAGCTGCCTAGGGCCACTCGTTCTCTCAGTCGAAGTCGAGTATTGCAACTCTAAATTTTCAAATCCTCATCTTGATACATTAACGGCATCCCATTATGAGTTGTTGAAGTTCTTAATCGGATTTACATCATGAATTCCGATGGTTTTTTTTTACGAGTTAACTTTTATATATATAGGACTTTTATTCGAGTGCATGAGGTGCGGTCAAATACTCTCAGAATTCGACATCCGCTTGAAATTTGATATGTTTATCTATCGTCAGTTACTATAATGTTCTTATTACAAGGATTTATGCTAAGAGCTTTGTACCGTGAGACGAAAACAAATAGTTTATAAACTGTTAACGTCTTTTTTTGTGTGAATTTATTTCAATCATTCCCAGTTCCCGACTTTTGCCTCGGATAGACCGACTTTTGCCTGTGACCTAAAAGAATAAACAATGCTTGTATTTCTTCTAAGTATGTCTTTTTTGTGATACTATTTTATTGGCTAGCGAAGTCAACATAAATTAACTCGGATTCTCTATCAACAAGCACTTGTTTTGTTTGCCTCACAGCAAATTACTATTATATATTTTTTTCAGAGGCCAAATGCCAGCAGCAATGCTGACCTGGAAGCGAGTGAAGCGCTACTGGCACTGCAATTCACTACCTCATCGTCTGGTGGCTCTTCGAAAACTAGCCTTGCAAACTCCTTCAAGAAAGTCATGAGTATGAACGAGAGAAATTGTCCAGCTCATGTTACGCAATCCCACAGTCAAAATTATAACGCAAATCCGTTTATTATTGGAAACGCAATCCAGCGAAACCGAGGTATGCAGCCCCTAGACCTGCATGTAGAACCGAAGATGGAACGGAGCTTCGATACTGCTGATTATTTTTCGTTCAACAACGAGACAAAAATTAAAGAACAGTACCACAATTCATCTCTAGAATTCATAAATGTATCAGATACTCATGCTTCTCATAACTCGCGAGTCCTGGACTCTCGTGAAAAGTTACTGTCGGCTCTAAGAAGAAATGCCGACCAAACCCAATCTTATGAGGGAGGACCTGGATCTTTCTCATCGCTTTCTCCTCCAGTTAATCTTCCTCCTTCACCTCCGGCATCGCAGGGAGGAGCCTCGCCTCACCACATGTCTCTTGATTCTGATGGTGAAGATCTCACCGATCGATTTTCCAAGACTAAAGAGGTTGGTCTCATGTTTGAACTAATGATCAAAACATGAACTCATGTGCAGCGCATGGTTGAGAATATTATGTCCATTTTGTTAATGATTATAGTTTCCTATACTTTTCAACCAATATCATTAGAAAAATATCGCTGTCATTGGAATACTATTCTTGTCTGCTTGAATGCTGGAAAGTTACTATTATTTTGTTATCGTCCTCTTTTATGTTATGCTGCATATTTGCTTCCTTGTATTTAATTAATTTGCTCGTTCGTTCTGCAGAATCTCCTGCCTATTGGCTACGTTGGTCCCGAGTCTCCACCCTTGTCCCCTACTCAGTACTTCGGGTATTTTTCAAGTCCTTCGGCTTCTTCCTCTCCCGCACTATCATCCCCCCTATCAAGTGGATTATCCGTCCCCGTGTCTGTCATTGTAAAAGCTGGAAAAGCAAAACATTCTCGCAAGCTTTCCACATCTTCTTTTCAGGAAGAAGAAAGACACTCCACGAATGCCTATGATTTAAATGACTCTTCGCAGAACTCGTACTTAGACGTCACTGGTGAAAGCTGTCAAAATCCGTTTAGCGCCTCGGCATCAGTGAGTGAATTTGAGAGCGGAAATGCTTCAAATGCGAACTGTAGACCCAGAACTATGGCAGAAAGGAAGATGTACCCAGCAAGGCAAGCGATGCAAACCGAGCCAAGCGAACTATGTCACAACCCTTCATACACAACCTTTCATGGACAGTCTTCTTGTGATTACACGAACGACGCTGTTGAAGCTTCAAGATCCAAGAAATCGTTTAAATCGCAAACCATTGAGTATCAAAGTCAGCTTTTGAGCGAAGTACCTTTTTCTTCTCCAGTGCCATCGCCTATCACTGATTCCGTCGATAGTTGCTACTCGGTTGATAAACCTGCCGGCAACACCAAACATTCGTCTGCGATGAACATGCAATACCCCGTTTCTCAACCAATTGCAATTGCTCCCAAATTACCTGCTGGTCTCATCCCAATTACTTCAACGGCTGATATTGGAGCCATTCAAAGTGCTAGTGTTTTAAAGACCACTCCCGGAATAATGCATTTAATCATCACAAACGGTGATTCTGGAACGGCTCCTACCATAATTCTAGCTCCTTCTATTGTTGCCCACTACCAAAATCAGCAGCAAGTCGTTGATCAAAGGAAGAGAATGTACAAGTGCCCTGTCGAGAACTGCGGTAAAACCTATTTTAAGTCATCTCACTTGAAGTCTCACGAACGTACCCACACCGGAGAGAAACCTTTCGCTTGTCAAGTCTGCGAGAAGAAGTTTGCTAGGTCTGATGAATTGTCTCGTCATAAAAGAACTCACACCGGTGAGAAAAATTTCCAGTGTCCTGAATGTGGCTTCCGATTCATGCGATCTGACCATCTTGCAAAGCACATGAAGAGACATACGAGGAAGCAGATTAGCTCCGGCACACAACCTGTGGCCCCAAAACTACCGGCTATGACTGCATCAGCCATCAATTTTATTACTATCCAAAACGCATCTGCACTCCAAGCCACTCCGCTCCAAATAACCTTACCTAAAAATATATAAATGAACTATTCATTTATTCCTAAGACTATCTCACTTAATCCATTGTAATTTGCCGTCCTTATTGATTATAATTAGCGATGATAAATTCCAGAGCTGAGAAATGTATCTCGAAGTTTTTTGTGCAATATTGTAATCTACTGATAGATGAGAATAACCTTGAAATTTACTAAGCTTTTCGATTCAACGATACACTGGTGTATCGCATTTTAATGTTTTGAAAGAATATATAACAGCATCCTTCAATACATCACCTCGACCATGTTTGACAGTTTGAAGTTCCGTATTTTATGTGTTAGCTTAAGACAAATTTTTCACAGGGTGCTGGGAACACATGTGTCTCTCATCCGTCTTGTGATATACGTGTTGTTTGCGTCGCCAAGTGCGACTGACTACCAAAGATATAATAATTTTATACATTCTTATAATCGTTTTTAATACTTGAAAATAAAGTAATACTAAATAAGATGTTGTTTTTTTGTTTCCCGTTCACAGTCTTAGAAAAATAGTTCATTGGTTAATATTTTTGCCACGTTTAACATGATACTTGCAATAACGCATAGGTTTTCACTCAGCCGATACTGCGCACTTTAACAACGATATTTAGGGATCGATCGCCACATGATTATTACGAAACTGTATTGATCGCACTACAAAGAGGTGATTAAATTATGTTTATAAAATAAAGCATTACTATTGATGGCAGGTTATTTAATTGCTGTAGCGACGTTATGTTCGGCAAAACGCGTTAAGAAAATGTATTTTATGGTCAAATTCGTTTGGCCCGTTTGGGCCAAATTTTTAGATTTTATATAGGCGCAGAAAAAAAAAACACATCTAAATCTGTTACCTCCTTTAAATGTGGTACAAAACTAACTATTCTGTGCTAAACAACGCCAAGAGATGTGCACGCGGTCACTTTTATGATTTGCGAATCACGTACGAGGCGATATTGCCAACCACAACTGTCCTGAAATGTATCATGTTCTTCGATGCTGGCTTATTAGTAAGCTTAAAAGCTCGGACAAGCTTTAGCTCCTTAAACAACTGATTCAGCAAAACTATCAAGTACCAAGAAAGTAGAACATAGCCTGGAATCGAGGTCGAGACTTGAAGTTCGCTGTCAGTTCCAACTCCAGAGGCCATACTTTCAAAGTTCGCTAAATGAACTAAGTGCTTACGCTCTATTTTCTTGTCTGTGATTGGTGGATTTTGCTTGAAAGGCCGTAAATGATTGGCTGATGAACTTACGATCTCTTAACTTTTTTTGAAAGTATAGGCCAGGTCTCCAGCTGCCTTCAATTAGAGCTCAACACAGATGCAGTAGCACAGCAGCCTTCGGAGTTGATGCAACGCATGGCATTTTAAACCCAATTACAGGAAAGAAGTCATGGTATCTGTATGGTAGAAGTCATCATTGAGCCTCGGGACACATGAATGGACCTCGGGACATGGCTAGAAAATTGGGTCGCGATTCGCAAGCCAAATGGACGCATTTTACGCAGTATTTCCAATGCTCCAGTATTTTAGGTCAAGAAAATACTCCATTCGCATTTTTCTTATATTAAATTGCCATGGTAAGGCAAGAAGCGTAGGTTCATTACGATGATTTTTAAAGATGACTAACAAAAAAAAAATAAATGAACGAATGAACGCTTAACAACCAAGTGCATGGAAAATAACGAACTAGTGAAAAATAATCATTTCATTGTCATGCTAATCAATTTGAAAAAAAAAAACAGTATTGCGAACGTTATTTCGCATTGCTTGACGAGAAAAGAAAAAAAAATTAATAAAACTTAGGAATTCTTAGTGAACTTGATTTTTTGGTGAATTTGTCAATTTGCATTGAATTTAATTTATGGTGAATTTGTCAAATATATTGTGTCTCATTTAATTATTCATTTTCTTGGTTGTTATTTGTTGTATTATATTTATTCGGTATATTTCAACAAACTAAACTATCTTTAAAGTATTACTCGACCAAACACACTTTTACGCTATGTTTTTTGCAGTTTATACCCTCTTCCAGTTCTTGTACCTTTTTAATTGCACGCGAACAAAAATGACTACATGAGGTGTCATTCACGTTATCGTGATGGTAGAAAGTGAGTTCCAAAGCAGCACTGCAGAAGTCAGCAGATCAAGTTAGGCTTCCTTCGATTAGTGAAAGATGTACCAGAGGCACACGTCTGCAGTGCCTCGCTCCAACGTCGCCTGCGTCCCCGACTCATAGTCATACCCCGTCGGCTTTCAGTTTTAGTGAGCGTCTGGCCGTGGTGGGGTGAACGTGGAGAGTGATTCGCTCCTCCGGCCATCCCAGGTAACAACATTTTCGGATATTTTTCCAATTAAAATTGTACTTTGATTACGTGAATTATTTTCATTTCAGATTAGCATATAAAAGCAGAGCTTTATTGCTGATGACCCATTTCTTCCAATTATACCTCAAAAAATCGTATAACGGTTTTTATTTGCGGTTTAGATTGTGTAAAGGTACGTATATTTGTTGAATAAAATGCTGATAAATGTAGATATATATTTCTAGAAGAAAGCAGCATTTTCATTATAAATCTCTTAATTTTATATGAACTGGCAATAATTACATCAATTGTTGTTTATAGTATTATCGTAGGCATTGGTTGATACGTGCGCCGATCGAGGCTGCTCAGCTCACTGCTCAATGCTCATATCTTAGCGGAGCTACCTGGTAACTTCTTTTAGTCTCATTTTGCTGTATTAAAAGGAGAGCTGGGTAGATTAGTTATTTATTTTTCAACCACTTTCCATATACTCTGCACTTTATTCGGCCTGACAAATCCAACTAGGATTTGCCAATTAAAATTCGTGTGTCCTTTGCAATATGTGCAATTCTTTAATGAAATCTAAACTTTTTTGTGCAGATTCCTGATGGCTGATTGCACATCGGGTGATGGGTTTGAGTTATATTTTGATCTCGTTTCTATCATGATCATTCAAAGAAATTACTCTAATTAATGCGAACAAGATATTCCTCACAGGACCCGATGCAATGCATGTGTCGGTAACGAGGTTGAAGTTCTTTCCTTTACTGTTTTCGAAAAGTTTCGTCCTCGGAATGGTCTCAGTAAAAGATTTTATGCAGTCCTGCTGAAACATTTTAAGTTGTCTTTTATTTTTGCAGCAAATGTTCGTTCTCGTTCTTGACGTTTTCATGGCAATCAGATATACGCTTGACATACCAAAGCATTACGTTCTAAGATCTCGTCAGAAAATCCATGAAGACATTTATCACGAGGGACTCTAAGCAAAGAATTACACAACGGATATGAAGATTCATTTGAAAGTTATGCGCTATTTCAAACCCCGGCGTCTTCATCGCACAGCTGCTCAAACCTTTAGCGTCGCCCTTCCTGTGGCAGCTGTACTGACTTTGACGTTTGCAGCGTTCGTGTTGGGTGAGTGGTTATGAAAATATCGTAATTAGTACCATCAATTTGATCTTCTGTTATTATGTCTGTTGACTTGTCTTACTTATGATCGCGGCCATTGTGGAAGCTTACATCCACCATGCATTAAATTTAAATCTAATTTGCCCACTGTGGATTTTGGTAATCCTCCTTTCGAAATTATTCGTGCAGTAACTCAGTTCGTACGGTAAACCTATATTTTCCATTAAAATTAAGAGAAAAGACTTCTATCCGTGTTGAGCTTTTCCAAATGTCACCCTTTTTCACGTAAATACTTTACTTACGATAGGTTACAGAAAATTATTTTCATTGCACATAAAATCAATTACATAAAAGGTTGTATAATCAAATGCTTAGCCATCCATATAATAATGATGACTCTATCTTGGAACGAACGTGTAGATGGAGCGGAGTGGTAGGTGGAGCGATGTCGAAATATGAATGACTCCGGCACTATATATAATAACCACAAATGACATATAAAGTAATAACGGTCACGATATAATTTTCCGATTTTTGCACCTTGGCCCAGGGTCGTACTGCGAACTACGGTCGTGCCGTGGAGAAAATATATTTCCGATCTGACAGTTCGTAGGCTGTTCGGTCGTAAGAGAGGATATTAGCAAGTCGGGGTTCCACTGTATTGTGTCCTTTGATCCTAATTGAACAAGCGAAAAATGTATCAAAACTTCATATAAACACACTTTTAATTGTTGACTACATTGTATAGATGCCGCCCAACCATGTATCTATAAAATCAAAATTTCAAATAAACACACATTTGATGGTTGACAACATTTAAGATACCGTCCAGTCATGTTGATATAAACTGCTGTTGTTCAGTGAGTCCTGGCTCACTATCCCCTTTAACAAGAATAGAAATGTTGTGCAGGGCTCAGCCAAGCTACCGTGCCCCTGTTTGAACGGCCCTGCGGCACTATGCGCCGCTTCTATACGCACCATCGATCTTGCCTCTCATTCTTAGAGTAGCGCGGCTATCCTATATGCTTTGACCTCCTGAGACCGATTTAGTAATTACTTCGGGCGCATTTTATTTCTATGTTCCAGAGTGGATGGATAACCTGGTTAATCGTAGCGTTATTCTGTAGTCCCCGTTGCAGAGAGTTGTCCCATCGAGTGTTTTCATTCAGTTGCATAAATTTCAAATTACTTGACAGTTTTTTGCTGTTTTGTGAAACAGAAGATTGTATTCATTATGACAGTTTTTCAATTGGGGTTGGTGTTCCTCTCGTGGTAGTCAGCTCTGCCCAATTTTCTAAAAAAAACATAAAATATTTAAAACTTATTTTAGTTGTCACTATAAAGATAGGTTGATGTCTTAATTCATTTATTGGATGCTTTGAAGCTGAAATTATCTTGATTTGAACAAAATTTTCTACTGTATGAGTTCGAGACATCTTTACCGAATTACATAAATGGATAATATTATCATTGATATAAAAGTATGAGTGACCTGTTACTCCAGCTCGTAAATGAAACAATAATTTTGTTAAGATTTACTGGTAACATGGCGTCGAGAACAATATGAGCTGAGCTGGTAGTGCTTCATGCTAAATTGTTACAGCGTAATATGTTCCTTGCATTCATCTTCACTCATGGCGATGTGTCTCTCAAGTGTAGAGCCGAAAATATATAGCACAAATTGGATATAATCAGAGGTGGGCACAGTTCCGCTAATCCGCTAACCGCTAATTAGCGAAGCTAATGTTTTCCTTATCGGATTAGCTGTTCAGCTAACTTTGAAAACCTTTAGCGGACCCATTAGCTTCCGCTAAATTTAGTTCCGCTAACTGGCAGTCCGTTAAAAATGTTATAAAATCTCTGATTTAATGCTAAGTATCGTAAACCGTGTGCCACGCCCACACTGACGGCTGACTACATCATCAAATGTTCGTGAGCCAATCACGTCTTGTGTTACTGGCAGTAACACAAGACGTCCTACCAAGAGTGTGTAACCCTGGTGTAACCTTAATATTTCTTATTCGTTTAATAAACTGTATGTTGAATGTCAACTACTGCCTAATTTCATTTGTTCATTTAATTATTTATGTTACGTACATCTTGATCATCATCTGATCTTGGCATGCTACATCTTTTTGGGAAGCTCCTTAATTTTCAAGGCTTGAAGTTCAGCTCGATAGGCCTTTTTTTCAGAGTTCCCCCCCCCCAAATTAAGCCAAATCTAAATTTATATATTAAAAATTAGCGATTAGCGGTTAGCGGTAAATTCCGCTACATTTTTCGGTGATTTATCGGTTCAGCGTTATCGAAGCTAACTTTTCAGTTAGCGGATTAGCGGTTATCGAAGCTAACTTTTAGGTTAGCTGTGCCCACTACTGGATATAATACTACGTAAATGGACATTAATCATATCCGCTCAAGTTAAAAGTATTAAATACATCATGTTTTATTTTTATAATTTGATTGTAACCTGTTCAGTTGTTTTTTCATAAGAAGTATCCTGGTTCTAAGCTACATAACGCAATGTCTTCTGTTGATCGAATGGTGTTATATATCGAATTGCCTGATTTGATGTTTCTCTCGAGGAAAATAGTACGAGTGACTGGAATAGCGGAATTGCAATCCATTTTTAAACAAAAATATAATCTACAATTACATTTTTCTTTGTCAGAAGAAAGACAGCGTGCTTTCAAGTAAAATTTGACCCCACTGAATAGTAATTGTAAGATTATTTCATGGGAAAACAATCGAATTTTGGAATTTTCAAACAATAATAAAAGTACTTAGAAATTCCTTTTAGTATTTCTCTGACGAGTTATATTCTAAAAAATTAGTAGGGTAACATGGGGCAGCGAGCCCACTGCGGGTCACGGGCCCATAGCGGGTTTCTCGCTAAGTATGGCAGATATTGGTCCGTGTTCTCTACCGCCGGTCGACAGTTTCACTGGGATGAAGTGTACGGATTTACGTTTTGCTAAGTGTTTGCGTAAAATAGTGTTTCATTAAAAATTGAATAACTCTATAGGCGTCTAATTCACATCATACATTCCTCATTAGTTGCACCTTTAAACAAAACAAAGAACCACCTCGTATCAATTAAAACTTCGTCAAAAATTTAGTTTAAAAAAAGTGGGGGGCGCGCTGCCCCACGTTACCCTATATTTTGATAGCTCTAAGATGCAACTAGCTTTAAAAGTTTTGCACACGTTTATTTTGGTTTTTTAATTTTTGACAAGGCTGGTGGAAGGACTCAGTGCGGCTGAGCTTGGGGGGATGGAGTCTTGCGGCGCTAGGAAGTTCTTCCAAGTCCCCGCGCACGGAGCGGGAGCCTCTGGTCATGCTCAAGAGAGAACTCTCTGCAGTCATTCTCAAGGCTGCCAACGATGTTCGTGAGTGCACTATGTTTTTATAAGCTAATTCTTTCATAATGTTTTATATCTATCATTGATAGTTCGTTTTTCTAGTAATATCCTCATTACACAAGAATTCAAAAGTCTTTCTTCATATATCCATTCATGCTTTCCAGAAATCTCATTATCTAACACCTTGAAAACTCATGTTAATTTGCTTCATATCATGATTTCCCCTGCATTGTAATTTTCATTTCTAAACTTATGGACCGTCACTTATTCCGCTCAATTTGAATATCCATCTTCTCAATCTAAGCAAACGAATTTTTTTACGCTGTGTAACAGACTAGCAGTCATCACTTCTATTTCATTCAGCCATAGTAGCTTTGAAAGTTTCTATGTATAACATCGCTGTAAGTTCTCAACTCAGAAATTAAGTTTGCCTTGCGTCGATTCATTTTACCAGGGTGGGGGCGGCCTGCAGTTGCTGTTGCAGAACTGGAGTCGGCGGCTGCTAGACTGGATCCTCGATATAATAACGACTTGGACTTAGATCCTGTCGTTGTAGCGAACTGGCCTGCATCTTTCGCTAACTTGGACTCCGAAGAAGGAGAAGATGGCTGGGATTTCGCTCCTGGAGGGGAAATCCCTGTGCAACCTCGAATTACCGAAATGAATTTGCGTGTTTCAGATAAAGATAAATCAACTGTTCAAGGTAGTTTCGCTCCTGATGTATCGACGGGGCATAGTTTTCCTCGGAGCATAACCCCTGCCAAAGTTGAAGAGATTCCCAGACAAAACGTAGAAAGACAAAAAAACGTTTCACATGAGTCAGAGAGCCTTAGATGGTGGTCGGAGTTAACCCACCTTTCATCGGATCAAATAGAAGATAAGAACTTGCCGTTTCTTGTGTCTGTGCTGATAGATGGCTGCAACATTTCACCCAGCACAAATCTTCAAGTCATTGATAATATCCAGAAGATGTGGCCTTCTTTGCAAATCAAAGTTGCTACGAGTAAAAATCTTGATCGCAAATACTTGGATGGCGTTAGGAATAAACCAAACGTAACCGTCCAATATGTGAGTATTAAAAAGACACAAATATTATCAGCAGTTCCTGTGTGTAGTTACAAAGCCTTTGTACTAAGCGTATGCGTGCTTTTTTCCATCCTTTAATATCGTACCCGAGCATTCATTGCACAGAAGTTTGTAGTACTGTTTCGATCATACTCGACTTTATATGTTGTGAATGAATTGATTTCTATAATACGTTAGCAGGAGACGTGTTTATTGATGTTCATCTTTAATTAGAGCATTCATTAAGCATTTCCAACAATGCTTAAAGGAAAATGCTCCCAAGTTTCCTCGAAGCTCTGTATTAATCTTGAAAAAAGTTATTACTTTTGCATTTCTAATTTCAGGTTGAATGCAGAGGCTCCGGAGGCCAGATCGCTCCTCTTGTGAGCTTGGTTTCGACTCCGTTCGTGCTTTTCCTCGAGTGTGCAGCGGCAGTGACGGAAGATTTGTCAATAAAAGACATGCTGAAAACTGTCCGAGACACGAAAGGAGTCGCGCTTATTGGCGTGTCTGAGCGAGGGAGAGATGGCGCCTGGGATTACATTTGCACGCAACTCAGTATCAAGAACGCTCGTCTTGAGCTGCAGCAAGGATACCACTTCTCGAGAGGTGGATGTTTATTCTGCGATGTAACATCCAGTAGCTTTTTCGCTGCCACGTGGATATTGCAAGAAGAAGAAGTTGACTGCACTTTACCGGAGCATTCCAGACAATTGGATTGGTTCCTAAGGTTGCAGCGACAGGGTATATTGGTGATGACGTGTCCATATTTAATGACTCACATTAATCGGCAAGTTATGGTTGAGAATGATATGGTAACGCTCGATCGTCCTTGTGTTACGAAAAGCCAACGCATTCAAGCACGGGATGAACACATGTTTCTTAAACGACAGTATAGAAAACTGGCCAAAAAATGGGAGCTCACAACTGTAGTGCTTGCTAACAACACGAGGCTCGAGTATAGTTGCTTGGAAATTCATTTTAACTGCCAAGCAGTGTCGAGAGTGAAACACTACACTCTGCCTAACTGTTGTCTTAAGATCAAGAACAGGATGTTCGCTACACTCTTCGCAGTTGCTAAGAAAGAAAAAGTGCCTTTTGAAGTCAACAGCGGTTCTTTGCTCGGAGCAGTAAAGTTCAAGAATGCTATCCCATGGGATTTTGACGACGATGCCGTTTATAGGAACAAAGACATGAAAAATTTTTTGAAGCACAAGCAAAAAATGCGTCAGTTGGGTCTATCTCCAGTCTTCAAGAAAGAGTTTGGTGCTAACAATAAATCGGCGCTGCACAATTACTTCAGCATGACGGGACAAGGAGGATTCAGCATGGATTTGTGGGGAGTCGACAAATTCAGCTCTCATGCAGATGTCGACAAACTGAAGAATATTCCTTCGAATTTGGTGTGTTTCCGTGGTGATCATTCACCGGTCACGATCAAAACTGTACTCAGCGAACGAAATTCGCAGGTCACTGCTGACAGTACGTCGACTGACATAGGTGATGACAAGTCGACTGACACAGGTGCCGCTCAAAAAACACGTAGCGATGCATTAAACAACAAGAACCAAAATAGGTTAGGAACAACAAATTCCCCGTCTTGTTTCACACAAAGTTTGGTAAAGATAGGGCAAAATTGGCTACCAGGCCCGTGGAACCCAGCCCAGGCTGCTCAAAGTCGCTACGGGTCCGGACTGTTTCGCCACGAGCCGCACTGGCGGATGAAGGAGCAGCATCAGACAGGCTGGTCCGATTGCCCTCGCGTCGGACATCATGCGTGCCTCGATTTACATCCGATGGATGGAAGCTTGCCATTTTTCTAGACTAGTTCATTCTAGTTTTTATATTAGGAAGTTAGTTGTTTGATCTATTTTGAACAATGAGATACTTGTCTGGGTACAATTTCTACGAAACATGTGCCTCATGTGTTCATGTCGTCAAAATTGCGTCATACAACCGGGTTATTGAGAATTATTGGTGTCACGTTAATGCTTCGAAACGTTATAATAATTCGGAAAGCTGTCTAATAGTAGGCCGAGTAAACGTCTTGCATAATTTGCTATCCGATCCGAATGGTTGTCGGCCGGCTTCACAGGCCTTATACGTGAGCGAAAAAAATGCAACTTAACTAACTCGTTAAGGTTAATCAAAAATGCAAGTAACCTTAACGAGAATCCCGATTACACCATCGTTGACATTAAACAGGGTTAACTCTAGCCCAGACTACCTCACTTGTAAGTATTGAAATGATTCTCATTAAAGTTGTTACAAAACTTAGCGTTTTCAAGGTAGCTTTAGGCCTTTTGGTAGCCACACGCAATTACCTCTAGCACTTGTTCCGATTTTATTATCATACAAGTTATCATTCGTATTGAACCCATATGACATACTCTTTGTATTTGCATAGCTGCTGCCTCTCGAATTCTTATCATAATGACCTAGTGAGAGTAGTTTTTTATTCTATGCACTTCATAGTTAGAACTATACCACTAATTAATCAAGCATAAAAGCTATATTCTCTTACTAATAGCACCAATATATTTAAATATCCATTCCATTAGGTTGTGAATACTTTAGTTATATATTTATAAATACATACTGTACGTCTCTAGTAGCAGTTGATAGCTTAGACTATTGCCAAAGAATGTTGACTAGTTTTATTGTTGTCATGGCTTGTTGCTCTCGCAGTTGCCTGGAATTTTTGCATCGACTTACTATTAGCATTTTATTTTTGTGCTTATGGAGAATAGAGGATGATGAATTGCCTGCATGATGAACCCAAGAACTCGTGTAAAGAGACCGGATTTTTGAATCCCTAATACATTGAAGACAATTTCTGTTATACACTACTCTAACCATGCAAAAATTTTGATTATTCATGTATTTCGACAAATGATTTATCGCGTATCACAGAGGAGAAGGAATTGGTATCACCAAGATCCAGGATTCTTAATTTATAAGAGGCATAACTATCTTGACAATGATTTGAAAACCCTAATCCTTGTGCTCTATAATTTATTAGTAGGCAAGTCAATTGTTCATTAGTATAGGTCTTTACAACAGAAGCAAAGATTACAGTCCTCTGTGCGGAGAAATTCTTTGTAGGAATCGTACCGGGTTGTTGTATCGTACCGGGTTACTGTATCGTACCGGGTTGTTGTATCGTACCGGGTTGTTGTATCGTACCGGGTTGTTGTATCGTATCGGGTTGTTGTATCGTACCGGGTTGTATCGTACCGGGTTACTGTATCGTATCGGGTTACTGTATCGTACCGGGTTACTGTATCGTACCGGGTTGTTGTATCGTACCGGATTATTTCAGCCATTGTATAGGGCCATTGTCTTGGTTTATAGTTTAATGAGGTGCGTTATAGTTGAAGTAAGTGCGTGCACAACGTTTCCTACCGCGTAAAAACTTTCAGTCAGGGATATTTCGTTAATAAAACGAAACGTATATATATATAAGGATCGATTCATTCAAGTTTATATTTAAAATACATGTCGAAGTGAGTAATTCAGCATAACTGTGGTCTATTTTCCGGCCTGTTAATTGTTAGAGTTTCGATTTACAGTTTCAAGATTGACATGAACCTATGATATAACTTAAAATTTATATTCTTGAGACTGGAATGATATCACTGCTTGATGTAGAGGATGCAGGTGCACGTAATATTTATTATTTGCTTTACATGCTACTTATTTTGACCGGGACTTGCTTACTAGAAGCTTCCCGTTCAGTTTGGTGTTCGAGAGCATGCGCCAGCATTGACTTATCTGTGATTGTCTCTGCCTAATATATGGCATAATATTAGAATATTATCTAGTGTCTAGTCCCAATCTTTATTGGTCTTTCAATAAAGACCGAAATATAGCTTCATTTAAAAATATTTGTAAACCGCAATCGATTTCTCACGATATGTGATGTGTTTGTCATATCAGTCCATGTGTGATGACAACAGCACCATTTAATAGTAAACTTTTGTATCAACTTGTTGCTCTGGTTATAACGCTAACTTCAAATTTCTAGTTTTAATTCATTTTCAACCTTTTTACAATATTTACTCATGACTAGTTATTGTTTAAATTAAACAGAGAGCCTCTAGGGCCTTAGGTGGATGGCTTGTAGCATGAGATTTGAGTCACCGCCAGGTCATCTTGTATTAGACCGTTAACTTTTCGTGATGTAAAATAAAACTAGCTAAAAATCGTAAATGAATCCGAAAGTGTTCCTTCACCATTTGCAACGCTCCCGCGTACCTCTCGTGGCACGCTTGCTCCAATAATACGGTAGCATCAGCTTTAATTAGGCCGTGTTAGCGTGTTGCCAATTTTTAAATATATGACCAACTGGCCGATTTCGACCTGAATTATCACAACTTGTGACCAGTTTCTATCACTTAACTCGCTGCTCCAATTTTCTTGATTTTACCCACTCGGCGATCCCGAGCTTAAATGGGGGAAACTACCCAAGTTGCGAACCACCATGGTTGAACTATTTAAGGTTGACCCACGAGGATTTCTGTCTTTCAGTTCAGCTTTCTTGTTACGTCGCTCAGATCGAGAAACGTGTAAACAATCCCGTCATTCCCACGACGGATTGGTTGACTGGTTTGATCGCATTTCGTTGATTGGTTAATGCCCGTGACGTCACTGAGATCAGTGACGTCACAAGCGAACAACAAACTACATCCGCAAAAATTAGCTTCTCATGAGTCAACCTTATACTAGTTCAACCATGGTGAACCACTGCTGCACTGTATCTAGCGTCGTTTTATGCAGGTTTCGTTTAATCGAGGTCGAAATGATAATATCCTAGCAAATTAATAAATTTTTCACTAAGGCCATATCATAGTTAACATTAGTCAAGTAAAACAACGAACATTCATAAGCTAATTGATGCTCTAGGTATTATTAAAAAAACTGTAATCATTCTGCTTGTATTTCTGCACCTCAAATAAAGCCATCTTTACCCTCGTCGCAGAAAAATTCGTCTCAAATTTCATTCAATCCCCAGAGAAACCGGAAAAATTGCGTTTATGGTGAAAAGGAAAAAGTTCCTTCGCGTTCAGCATTTTCCCAGTATTAAATTTTAAAAAACTCAATTTTCTGAGTTTCTTTTCCCAAGTAAATTATGCCATTGTGATTTTTTCCGGATTCAGCAAGATTCTCTATGATTTTTTTCTTCAAAAAAAAGGGACCTTCTGAAAATTTATTTTCAAGTTTAATCGCTGCCACATTTAATGTCGAAGTTTATTCCCTTAAACAAGCAGCAATTTTCTTAACATTTTTTGCTATTTCTTGACAACACTTCTCTTTAACTTCACTTCTTGTTGTTTGTATGTTTGTCTGATACAAATCTTATAATCGATATTTAACACACTTCTGCCTGTCCAATCGATTGGAAATTTTGCACACTTGCGTAAAGTCAGAGACACTGCGTAAAATCGATTGATAGAATGCATAATTTAAAAAATTAACAATTTTTTTAAAGATTAAAAAAATTAGAAGTAATTTTTTTAATATTTAAAAATAAACAAATTCATTGTACGTGTGTAACATCGGGGACACTGTCCTATTTAATAGTGTTGTCTTTAAAAAGCAATTTTTAAACGCATATTATTAGTATTTTTTTGCTTAGACAGTATATCACAATAAAGGTTCTCATTTTTAATTGTGAGAAAATGTTTTAACATTTATCAGCATTATTTGTGTTGTGCGTAAATACATTAGAATTATTCCTTATATTTAATGAAATTTGCGACGTGGAATAGGAGATCGCTCAGCTGGCCGTGCGATTGTATACAATTACGGAACTTCAAACGGAATTACGCTCGATTTATTCATTAACATGGCTTACTGTCGCTTCATTAAATGTTTCCAAACCCTCAGCCCATAGTTTTTTTTCCTCTCTTATTAATTTCTCTTTTCCACTCTTTCTCATCCCACTCTATCCCAACCGCACTACGGGCTGTCGTGCACCACCGAATCGTCCTTTGGACCCCCCGCGCACCCATGCGTTATATGCATGACACTCATGCACGCACCACTGTACGACATCTACGATATGTCCATTTTCTACGACATTTTCGCTTCGGTTCATATCGTTTTAGTGTCATTGTTATGTCCACTGTCATTCTGATAACTTCAAAGTCAAGGATCATTGAAAATTTGAATTGCGGACCTCGTAAAAATATCTATGTAGATTAGAGAAGGCTGCCGTCAGGTTATGTTTTTAGTGTCTTATCGGACACGAGAAGTTGCTCGCGTCATGCGTGTGCAAGAAGCTTGCATAAATGTAATGGGAGTACCTTTTTACTCATTTTTAAATAGGAATTTTTCACCGTTTTCCAGAAACATTCCTTATGATGATTGGATGTTGAATTTAGCCCCGAAAAAGTATAATGTGAGTGCAATAAAATGTCAGAGAAAAAGTGATCGTTGCACAAAAAGTGATCGTGTTAGGCTACAAAATCCTTGATGACATTAATATTAAGCTCTGTAGCAGATCGATTTAAAACAAAACTTACTTTGTTTGCAAGTTCTAGCACAATCCAATCTATCAAGTAAATTGTTCCACGCTTCTTTTGTGGTTGAAAATAAATCTTTTCTCGAATTTAAGTGCATGAGAGAATGGATTCGCTTAGTTCATTTGTACGATTTGTAAGGGGCCAATAGAGCGCGTAAATATAATACGTATATCAGGGAATCACGTGGAAGCTCAGAACGAGAATAGCACCGAAAAAAAAATTTGTTACTTTTATTTCGAATGACCAAGCTTGTCAAAATCCAGAGTCCCGTCTGCAAACGAAAACAATATGAGCGATTGTTGCAACATTCCTCATTATTACTGTTAGTTGCGCTGTTCTGAAAAATCATCAGCTTCCTACTACTCAGGAGAATTAAAATCTTTACCCCTGAAAGAAGGGATGCGTCCAATGTGACCTGGCGACGCCCCATTTCTTATGCCATCAATTGTCAATCCAAAAAAAATGTCTCTAAATAATGGATTGTCTAACTACGCTGCCCGGGATGGCAAAATTCATTCTTGCAAGTGGAGGTATTAGAGGACTTGGATGACAACGATGGTTTCAAGTAAAATTTTCTGCACATTCGTGGTCGCTTAGGAGGTCTAAACAGAAGCTGGACCGGTGCTTGCGAAGTTTGAGAAGAAATTCTAAGCTCCGCCGCAAATTACTCGTTCTTCAGTGAGAGCTCAAATGACAAGTGATGGGATACTAACAATAAAATAATCTGATGATAATAATATTTGCGCATGAGTGGGATACGTATTGATGAACAACGAAGATAGGATTCAACTACTCAGAAACGATAGACTATGCTTACTTTCTTTATTTTTGTGACAGGAAAATAGGAATAATAAAAATTTAGCATTTTCTTCAATGAAAGTGAAGCCGAGTTAATTTTTTTCATTTGTCTGATACAATGAAAAATGTAATATACGTTTAAAATACAATTAATTGTATTCTATCCCCAGGAAATACAAAATTTAAAGAAATTGAGAATTTTCGATTGCGTTCGCTAGCCAAAAATTTTACACAAGACAGTAGGATAAATTTTCAACAATATTCACACGGCGAAACGACATCCCCAGTATCAAATTGTTCAGTGAAATGGTCATGTAAGCGCAAGTTCCGCGGTCTGAGTAAAGTTATCCCAAACTTTCAGTAAGTGAGCTTGGTTGCCAACAATAGATTTTTCAGCCGCCCTGGGATTTCAGAGTTGACGGCTGGATCATAAGAAGCGCTTCTGTAGCAGTCTTAGTCTCAATCGAGAACGCAAAATTAATATTTATAATGTCAATCAACTGACCAACTCAAGATAAAATTATAAGTAATGTGATGATCTATCAGCATCGAATTTTAGCATTAAATTCAAATTTTCATTCAGACTCAATAATAATGAACCCAGCGGCCAGGGTCAGTAAATCTGTAGTAAAGTAGTTACCTCGATTTCCTGATAATGGAAAATGCGCTTATACCCTCGACTAAAATAATATGCGCGATTTCATCTGTAGCAAGATATTCAAAAGTTTATTCTGCTTTCTCAGGTGGCATTTATTAATATATATGACCAGCTACTTGGAAACGACAGCCATTAGTTAAACATGAAAAGGTTTTTGTATCCGTCTCGAACAATTCCGTATAGGGAAAAGCCGATTTCGTCTTGCCTCTGTGCAAGAAAACTTATGACGCTCACGTGCCTCCCAGTATAAACGCGTTCAAGTACAGACTATATAGATAAAGCAATGGAAAAATATATGTTCAGACTTGAAATGCCAAGCACCATATCGAATCCGGTAGAAGTCTAGTAGCTATTTCGAACTATCGTCAGTCTTGAAAAAATCCGGTCAATGGACATGCTCTCAGATCTTCTGCGAAAAAGTCACGAAAAGTACAAGAATCGGCGACAGGCCACATCAGGCCTACTCTTCAGCGCCGTCATCACTATGTAATGTTAAGTCTTGGCATAAAATTGAAGGTCCAGTTACAGCT